TAAGATTACACCATGTAATCCAAAAATATATTTCTCATTTTCAAAGATAATCCAGGGATTAACACCCAGGTATTTTTATTTTTCAATCTTCAGAGGGCTGGGAATCAATGATGCTCAACGCTTTTGAATACGATAAATGCTGTTTTAAATAGGTTTTACGTATGCCAATAATTTCTCAAATTATGTAAGCTGAATGCATTCCTTAATCCCTAGAATGCCTATCATAATAACATTCTTTTGTCTTGGCCACTTAATATGTTTTGTTGCTGTCTGATCATCAAATCAAATTGTTGTTATTTAAAGATGTCAGTCAAATCTGGTGAAACAGCACAACATTTACCTAAATAGCACGAGTACATATTATGTAACTTATTCATAATATTTCATGCATCAGGTATTAAGGCTTAGGGGATTAACTTTTACACATAAACTGAACTGACAGATGTGCACGCTTACATGTACAACTTCCAGGATTGTAAGAATTCAAAACTTGTTGATAGCCATATTTTCCTGAATGTGACATCGAGATATTATGGCATTTATGAGTGGTAAAACATGAAAAAAAGCATTTTCATTTAAAATTAGCATATGATTTGAATTGATGCCAAGAAATGTATTAGTTAACTGTATCCGTTTTACATCCATTGCAGTTGGCTACATTATAAGACAAGGCATTCACATGCAAAATGTCAACACCTGCCATTTGTTACAGACACCAACTGCCAAACACCAACTGCCAAATGATAAACACCAACCACTGAACACCGTCCACAAAATAGTTTGAGACCATAACAATATGTCACCACTTGTGGTGGTGACATAAAAATGATCATGGAAAATTGCATTTTTTTTAAAAAGTAGGAACTTCTGAGGTTATTAGAAAATTGGAAGACAAGGAAGGATTCTGGGAAGGATATTAGGGTTATAAATTGCAATGAAACTTAAACAAAACATTCTTTTTCTCAAATATCACAGTGTATATTCAAATCACAAATACGATATCATACAATTACAATAAGTGTCTAGTGCACTTTCCATTATGATATCCCCATGAACAAAATGAATCATTTTTAGGTGTAACATAAAGAATTCAATGTCACATAATACTGTGGAAAATATTTGGGCGTTTGGACCCACATGGGCTGAGGTTGAGGTCATTTAGTTCAGCAAGGGTGTATTGACTTGCCATTGAATGGGCTCCATTGACTTAACATGTGGATATCATCAATTCCAATTGAGGCCATTGGTTTCTATTGATTTTCACAAAAATACCTAAAATACACTATGACCTGAATCGATTGCAAATTAAATAATTTCACAGTATGACACAAATGGTATATCACATCAGATGTGCAAATATAAAGTTTGCAATCGATTCAGGTCATACTTCAAATTAAAAGATTATACATTTTTTCCATCATTTTTTCCTACAAAATGGCTATAGAAAAATGCTTCAAAAGCAACTTTTATACTAATGAAATCCCATACAACTTTCTAAATCCAAAGATTATACTGTTATGTTTCATTAATTAATAACATATTTGGATAATATGTTGGGATGTGTAGGATGCAAATGGATTTTGACAGACACAAAAAGACTTTTTGGTTTGGCATCTCTACCCCTGTACACTTTATGATTGAATATTGGCCCTAATAAGTGGCCCATTCATCAATACAGTGCTGAATATAGGTCAACAAGATACTAGTGTACATATAAATGTAATAATACCTATAGCTAGGTCTGAATATTAAACTCCAGCCAAATAGAGCCACCACAATATTTCAACCTTTGTTACCCTTGCAAAAAGATTTTCTTGCAATAAAAATGTAAAAATAGCTTAGGGTACTTGTAAGCCAATTTGATTTTAAGGTAGACATGTCTCGATATTTTTCAATAATTTTCATGATTATAAATACCGATAATCAATGAAAGGGACAATATTTTCACATTTGTAATTGTATGTGTATGCATGGTCCATGTGTATGTTACCATAATTCTTTATATCCACTTAAAATGTAAAAAATTTTGCCCAATTTATAAATATCAGATAATTTATTCATCACCAAAATTAGTAAAAATTATCAACATGCAGAACTACCTTAAAGAGTTTAATCTCTCACTCAGTCACAATCATGTCAACCAAAACTGTACTCGTGTTACATAATATAGGATTATACAGCTTACCATACGTGTGCAATCTATATAGCATCCACACTGACATCTTTACAGAATCATATATAATTTTTGAATATAAACTAACTCAACCCAATAAGGCGAGTACTAAAGAATTTACTTACCTGCCATCTAAAAATCTGCTTGGAACTACCATTGGATTACCATTGGATTCCTCCAAGAGAATATTCTAGGGCGCATTCAGCTTACATAATTTGAGAAATTAATGGCATACGTAAAACCTATTTAAAACAGCATTTATCATATTCAAAAGCGTTGAGCATCAATGATTCCCAGCCCTCTGAAGTTTGAAAAATAAAAATACCTGGGTGTTAATCCATGGATTATCTTTGAAAACGAGAAATATATTTTTGGATTACATGGTGTAATCTTAAAGTAAACAAAATGTTTTAAAGTGTATTGATGTTTTTTAGATGAAAAACATAAGCGAAATTCATGAAAAAAATCCCCCGATTCATTCTACAAACAACTCGCCCTCCTTTTGTGATCTTTTATAGTTGGCTATAAATAAAAGTAAAAGTTCAATGTCCTAATTTAACACTCAGCAACTAATGTTGTAACATACATTATTATGCCTGTTATGATGTCACAATAAAGGAAAATGATTACTTTTGAATGGGAACCGTATATATTGTGACATCATGAGATGACAAAGGAAATACTTAAGTTTTAGATATGACATCACATTCACAGAAAAGCTATGTGCTATAGTAACAAAACAGAATAACTTTATTATGTTCAAAATTTAGACAACATGTGTGAGATTACCTATATTGTTATCTTATTTCTAGGTGAGTTCATTTTATTATGTCCCCACCACATAGTGTGGGGCCATATTGTCGTCCTAGGCGCGTCCGTCCGTCTGTCTGTCTGTCTGGTTGTCTGTCTGTCTGTCCGTCCGTACGTCCGGCAGTTTTCTCCAAAACCGCTACAGGTATCACCTTCTAATTTTCAGGAATAACTTATGAGTGCCTATAGATGTGGATGAAAAAAATTAAACTCGAAACCTACTTCCTGTCGGCCATTTTGAAGTCAAATGCTAAAATCCTTGTCTGCAAACTTTAAGAAAAACTGCTTCACAGTTGCTTTTAAAACTTTAACATCTTGTTCAGCTCACTTCATTCTAGATCTGATTAGGTTTTGGACCTGCTAGCTCAGTCATGTCAGCCATTTTGAATGTCTTAAGAAAAGTTAGCGCGCGATAATACTTTGTATCATATTGAATGGTGTTTTTGAGTTTTCATACTTTAACTATTTAGTAGCTTTATACCACATAGTGTGGGGCCATATTGTCGTCCTAGGCGCGTCCGTCCGTCCGTCTGTCTGTCTGTCTGGTTGTCTGTCTGTCCGTCCGTACGTCCGGCAGTTTTCTCCAAAACCGCTACAGGTATCACCTTCTAATTTTCAGGAATAACTTATGAGTGCCTATAGATGTGGATGAAAAAAATTAAACTCGAAACCTACTTCCTGTCGGCCATTTTGAAGTCAAATGCTAAAATCCTTGTCTGCAAACTTTAAGAAAAACTGCTTCACAGTTGCTTTTAAAACTTTAACATCTTGTTCAGCTCACTTCATTCTAGATCTGATTAGGTTTTGGACCTGCTAGCTCAGTCATGTCAGCCATTTTGAATGTCTTAAGAAAAGTTAGCGCGCGATAATACTTTGTATCATATTGAATGGTGTTTTTGAGTTTTCATACTTTAACTATTTAGTAGCTTTATAAATAATTTCAGATGTACTTTGCTGTAAAAGCCTACTTTATTGTTAACAGTAGTTATATGTGATAATTTTGTAAAAAGAAATCAGCAAAAACTCATAAGGACTTTTTTATTGTCGGCCATTTTGGATTTTTCGGTCCTAAAATCTTGTCTGTGAAGTCTTGTATGCGCGTTTTCAGGTGAACCGTTTGGTGGATCAATTTCAAATTTTCAGGGATGATTCTTAGTATAAAAATCTAGATCTCATTAGTTTTTTGGCATTCTTGGTAAATGTCAAGGCAGCCATTTTGGATTTTCCGTCCTAAAATCTTGTCTGTAAAGTCTTGTCTACTCGTTTTCAGGTGAACTGTTTGGTAGATCAATTTCAAATTTTCAGGGGTGGTTCTTAGTATGACAATCTAGAACTGATTAGTTTTTTTGCATTCTGGGTAAATGTCAAGGCAGCCATTTTGGATTTTCCGTCTTAAAATCTTGCCTGTAAAGTCTTGTCTACGCGTTTTTAGGTGAACGGTTTAATAGATCAATTTCAAATTTTCAGGGATGATTCTTTGTATGAAAATCTACATCTGATTACTTTTTTTGCATTCTGCGTAAATGTTAATGCAGCCATTTTGGATTTTCTGTCATAAAATCTTGTCTGTAAAGTCTTGTCTACCCGTTTTCAGGTGAACCGTTTGGTAGATCAATTTCATATTTTCAGGGATGATTCTTAGTATGAAAATCTACAAACAGATTAGTTTTTTGACATTCTTGGTAAATGTCAAGGCAGCCATTTTGGATTTTCCATCCTGAAATCTTGTCTGTAAAGTCTTGTTTACATGTTTTCTGGTTAACTGTGTGACGGATCAATTTCAAATTTTCAGGGGTGGTTCTTAGTATGAAAATCTAGAACTGCCTAAATTTTTGGCATTCTGGGTAAATTTTAAGGTGGCCACTTTGGATTTTCCGTCCTCAAATTGTGTTGGTAAAGTCTTGTCTACTCATTTTCAGGATAACCATTTCACGGGATCACCACTTGGTGGGGACATTTTGTACACATTTGTGTTCTTGTATTTCACTTAATTTTGTCATTTTAAATTTTCCATGACCATTGATTTGAAATATACAATAATTTTTAGAAACTAAAACATTAGAAACATTCCTTGATGCATTAAGATTTCACTGAATTTGATAAATTAAGTACAATTGACAACATTTAAAAGCATAATATACTTGTCAATTCACTTAACCATAGCAACCAATAAAACCAATGATATTTTTAGAAATCATTTCAGGAGTATGCAAAGCTGCCACTATTGTTAAAATAGAGTTTGGAGATGGTGAAAGTTCTCTCTCTAGTGCCGAACATCATTTTGAACATACACCGCTTAAAGCTTGGCCTTATGACAAAACAATTGAGGAAGCGGTGAATCTCCATTTTCTGGGATCTCCACCAGTTGTCTTATCTTCTGCAGAGAATGAGGAAGCAAAAGCTAGAATGCAGATGAATGTTTCCAAAGTATATAGTATGTTCCACCCTGCCATGGCTCAGTTCAATAAAAGATTTAGGCGCCAACTAGGCTTTAACGGAGGTCTCCCAGAATGGATCAGAGATGACGAAGATTGCCAGAAAACACTGAAACAAACCAAGCAGCAAAATAGTGGCAGACCTCTGGAACTTGCCTCTATCGTCAAATTAGGAGAGACACTTCGACTTTCTTGTCATTATTGTGGAAGTCATGACGATGCTAGGAACTTGGGCATGTTGTGGTATAAGAGAGAACATGGCCGAGCGAGAAATTTTGAGGAGCTGGATCTTGACATGCATGATGATGAGGAATTTAACCGTATATACACCCTACCTGACCACACTCTAGTCATAAAACACTTCCAAGGAGGTGATGAAGGAACATATAACTGTAAATCAGTCAATGGTGAAACAAACTTTCTCTACAGAATAGATGCTATGATCGAACCTTCCATCAAGAGATTTGTTTCTCTCTCTATACCAGGTTTTTTAAAACCGAGCCCTCCTCACTCTGATCGATATCATGGTAACTGGGAAACTTTCACTAAATGGGGACGCTGGAGTCAATGTGATGTCACTGAATGTGGAAAGCAAGGGGAAAGACAGAGAAAGGGTTTATGCTTGGTGAGAGCAGTTGATCAAAATACATACGTAAATCCTCGCTTTTTGGATCCGCTTCTTAGGATTAGCTACAAGAATGGAGCTTTTTGTCATTCGTCTATGTTCAAAGATGTACCTGATGCCCTTGAGAGGCCATATGAAGTGGAAGTAGAATACTGTACTGTAGAATGCAAAGAAAGTAATCAAGGAAATAAGTTAAATGTTAGTAGTGAAGAAAGCTTCCAAAAGGTGGCAGTTCAGACACAACTAAAGAACAAGCCAAAGCCAGTTCCAACGACTACCATAGAGGAGCATGTTGGAGAACCAGTCAAATTGTTCTGTCCAGGGGTAACTATGGACAGTTTTGTGCGATGGACGAATGGGTCTTTCCATATCAAAGAAGGGGAGCTTATGCAGAAGGAATTAGGACGTGTTCAGATAGACCCAATTAATGGTCTGTTTATCCGCGATTTGAAACCTCAAGATACTGCTATGTATAGCTGTTATGTTAACGCCAAACTAACCATGATGTTCCGTGTAAAAGTTAAGTTAACACCCCATCGTAGAGAAATTGCCGCTGCCTGCTTGTATGTTGGGCTCACGTGTGCTTTCAACTTCCTCATCTTTCTCGGGGTGACCATTATACGTTATAAACAACGCATGGTGCAAATAGAGCAACCAGTTCGACATCTATCTAAACATGATCACTTAGAATCATGGAACAACAGTATTAGAAGTAACAGTTACAATAGTAACGGTTACTATAGTAGCAAACAGAAACCATCAAAGCTGCACTTGACTGATAGTTTACTTGGTGTAAATGAAGAAAATTTAGAAGAAAAACCTGAACTTACAAGTTACAGTGGTGACAATGAAAGTTACGATGGTTACCATGATGATGATGGATATTATAATAGTTACCATGACGATATTGAACATTATAATGGTTACAACGGTGCTAATCACTAGGACATTGTTAAATCATTTGTCAAATTATACAGAAACTATGAGAACACTGTTATAAAAAAAATGGTAGTGTATTGAAATGATAAACTTTTTGCCCATATTCTAAAAAATATATACAGATAACACTAAGGTGTTTTATTATACAGGGTGAGTCAAAAGTGTTACTATATTGTTTCAGTATAAAATTTTCAATTATGGTAGAATATCATGAATTATCCTTTGTTGTAAATGAAATCACCAACAAATATCATATGCTGTTAATGTCTTGTTCTTGGTTTAACTTGTTATTAATTGTATCAATGCAGTACAATTACTATTTAAAGGGTCATGTATACCTTCCCGTATAAATACAATATGGTGACTCTAGACAAGTTTAATGGATAAGTCTATTTTTAAAAAATTAAGCAACACCAAAAACGAGCATTTCATTAGCTAAATGATATATGATGGGGTCTATATTATGATTAAAACATGAAAACTTACCAAAATCACACTTCATTTCTACTTTACCAGACAATTTCTTTGTTCCATCTTTCTAGACAGTATTTTTTGCCATCACACAAACTTGTTTAATACATGAACAGTCACAGTCAAGGTGTTTTTATGTGTCTTTTACATATCACAACTGTTTGATTCTTTCTTTTTCAATTTAAACAGTAATTCATTCGTTGGATATAGAGATTTTTCGTAAAAAATAACATACTTGTAATAACATAATACATAAACGTTATACAGTCAATTTTTATAATTATTCCAATCTAAATTGTTGTACAGTATCAATATAAGATTATCTCGTGTATTGTATCTCACTGTAGAATCCTGAATTTATATCCAACAAAATCTGCTCAAACAAACCTGGAAATGATGTTGGAAAGCTAACTTTAAGGGATAATGGCCCCATCGCCCCATAACTGTTCAAATACAGTTAATTTTCTGACATCAATATTTTGAAATGCTCTCCAAATACTAACCAAAATCCCCTGAAATAAGACATGTTTTACATTCAGCGCCCTTTCAGTTTTAAGAAAGATACCAAGATGGCCAAGACATATTGACAAAATTTTCATAAACAACAAGAAACAGTCAACAACAACACTGACAATGAGTATCTTAAATTAGGACAATTGAAAAACCACCAAAATAGATAGACACCAATTGGTCCAAAAACATGAAATCCCAAAATAAGTAGCGCCAAATTAAAGACAAATGCAGTATATAACTAGAAATAGAATATATATGATAGCTCAGAATGTGTTATAATTTTCAGTAGATTCTAGAAAATTTGAGCATTTATAAAAACTTATCTCAGATTTAATGTCTTTTTTCCAGTCCTGGCTGTTCATTAGTGAAGTTCCCATTTGTCCCACTACTTATTATTCACTCCTCGTACATGTGTATTTGTAGGAATTGGAAGCAATTGGGTTGAATGCAGTTTGTATACCAGTGCTTAGGTTTACTATGAGGAATCTTGAAATACTAGAGAGGGCATTGAAGTGCCCTGAACTGTACTCTGGCATGATTCTTACCAGTCAGAGGGCTGTTGAATCAATACAGGTGCTAATACAGGCCAATGTTGAAGGTACGAGATTTTACATACATGTACTTTATATTGTCTAATTTGGAATAAGAAAATTATGATTTTCTAAAAAATATTTTCTATTATATTAAATTACATTTTACTAAATATTTTAATAAAATGAACATTGAATGGTCAAGATCAAATATGTGATTGTATAAAACAAATCAAGATGAAAAAACGTTAATAAACCAAGCTGCACTTTTTCACTATGACCTTACAATATATATATTTTGTTTGCAGATTGGAATTCAACATATAGAGAAAGATGGCGTAGTCTACCAGTTTTTGTAGTCGGGGGCGCCACATGTGATGCAGGTGAGTAGTAAACTTCAGCATGATTTGATGAAGAAGATGCCAAATTTGTAATTCAGATTCTTTGCTGTAATTCATCTGAAAGGATGGGTTTCTTGTCACAGTTCTATATATTGTTTCAGCTGAAAAGTTGGGTTTCTTGTCACAGTTCTATATTTTGTTTCAGCTGAAAAGTTGGGTTTCTTGTCACAGTTCTATATTTTGTTTCAGCTGAAAAGTTGGGTTTCTTGTCACAGTTCTATATTTTGTTTCAGCTGAAAAGTTGGGTTTCTTGTCACAGTTCTATATTTTGTTTCAGCTGAAAAGTTGGGTTTCTTGTCACAGTTCTATATTTTGTTTCAGCTGAGAAGTTGGGTTTCTCGACACAAGGCAGGGACAGTGGGAACTCAGAGGCCTTGTTGACTATCATCATGACAGGTAAGGTCATGCACATATCTCATGATATATTGGCTAGATTGATGATGATGATGTCATTGGTTGTAGGTAGCAATCTGTCAATGCAAAAATAGGATTAACTTATTGATAATTTTGAAGAAGTACAACCTATGACATATCAATCATCAATCTAGTATAGTCAATATATTATAGTTTGACTGATGGATCAAAAGATGGCAGGATTTATTGTAAATGTCTACAGTGTTATTGATTGATTGATTGGGACTCTATCAAGACATCATATAAGGAGAGTGATAGGATTATTAGATGGATTAAAGAATCAATTCTTATCAGAAATAGTATATATTTAAAATCTTGCACCTTTTGCACTTCTGCAATCACATGGTCAACATCCCCCTCATAACCAAGCCTATTACCAGCATAAGAAAGCGAGAAATTCTATGGATGGGACATGATGTATTCAGAAACATCAATAACCAAGGCTAATAAATAGGTTGCATCAAACAAAAATAAATCATATAAATATATCGTATAACAAACTGAAGTTAAACATGTTGAAAAATTGTTTCATTTTAATGTCAGATAATCTGTTTTCCTTTAACATTCCCACTGGCAAAGATTTCATATCATTGTTATTTATAGATGTCAGTATAGTAGTTTTTTCTCAAACAACCCTGGTTTATCGATAAGCAATAAATGGTTCTGCATCTCAATGGCCTATCATTTAATGTGAAATAATTATATAGCTGTTATCATAAAACAATTGTCCATTGAAAAGTATAGAAGTTACATAGAAATCTGTGTTTAAGTTCAGATGCCAAGTAGTGGTCTAATCTTGGTTTGAATGTAGAGGTATCCCCAGTGCTGATGAGTGATGACATTCTCTGTACAGCTTATTGTTTCTGAACTGACCTTTAGAGCTGAAAGTGTCCTCCCCCTGAAAGTGTCCTCCCCTGCGTGTCCTCCCCCTGAGATCATCTTAATTTGTTACCCAAGGAATAACAACTTCCCTTTCAATAGTTTCATTTAAAGAGAGAATCAGATCTAGCAAGCAGGCTAAACAAAAAATTGTTTCAATTTTAGAATACTTTTGGCTCGTGTTATTCCTTGTCATGTCTATTTGCTAAAAATCACAAAAGTGCATACTTCATTCCAGGAAAAGTAAAGATTTTTACAATAATGTATTATTTTTCTATAAGAATGGTTACCATTCTTATTATCTGGGAGAATTTAATTATTTTCATTGGTTTTTGCACTTTGAATCATGAATAACTTCACCAATTTATAATATACATGTATTTTGAATCTTTTGGGAGATATTGTATTTGATATTGTAAGGAATAGATTGGTAGGTCAATTATACATGTTGCTTGTAATTTTGTCACCCCTTATAGATCAGATTCTACCTTTAAGTTTCTTAAAAGAGAACTTGATCATAAGAGTAATGAGCTCAATTTCTGTCACAGACTGTCATTAAGCCAAATTAATGGTTCAGTGATTGTTCAGTGGTTTTAAGTACATTGTCAACTACCATGTACATATAAACATACTTGTATTTTAGGATTTAGACGAATGTTATGTTTTTTTAATTAAAGATATCATGCATGTCACTAGATTCATTAGTTCAGTGAATAAAATGAATATTTCGTTTTTGAGACATGTTTCAGTTATTTTGACAAAATGTCCTTAACCTATGCTTTGGCTGAATCTGGCACTTTAGCCTACTTAAAGTTTTTGAGTATGACTGTACTGTATACACCTTATGTATTTTATGAAGCCTGTATGTCTACATCCTGTTTGAAGTAGAGATTATATATAATTTAAGGCCATCCCATTTCCTCTGTCTTACATTATTTATTTATTATTCATTTTATTTTATTTTTATTGACCTTCACCCAGCTTAGGGTAATAGAATAAAAATACATTTAAATGTGCAAAGTTATAGGCATTTTGAAGCTTGTTTATTTTTATTATACAGTACATGTAGTTGAATTTACATCTATAACGTCATCGATTCTTGGTATATCTACCTCTTTTCATAAGAATTGAATTTGTTTGGTTAATTATATATAAGCACAACATTTAACATTGAACTGTGGTTGTCACCAGTTTTGTGAAGAGATGAGGCCTGGCTGACTTCACAGTCATCGTTGTGCCAACTACCAACTGTTGCCCTGTCATCAAAGGTCACGTAGAAACATCAAAGTCACGATTGTTACTCAACAGCATATGTGACTTCTCATTTTTGTGGTCATCTTTCAATAATATATGAACAGAAAATCATCGTGATTTATCATTAAATAACATAACATATAATTTACCATCCATTTATAAAGGATATGGTACATATAAAATGTATGTAATATATAGGGATTAACTTTTTTACCTTTTTATACTATTAGTAGGTTAAATATACAGAAATAAATCTTGAATCTTTACCAAAAGGTAAACGTTTTCAATATTCAATACCAACTTCAATGATAAATAGTTGACACACCAACAAAATTAGGTGGGGTGTTTGATATGAACAATATATTGACAAGATAGTTAGAAAAAGTTTTGAAGTGGGTTGAGATTTGGGCATTTTTTACATTAAAAAAATGAAGTTGTTATTAAGAACTATATTTAACAATTTTCATACTCCTTACTCTCATTCACTTCAAAATAAGTTAATGAAATATAAATAATCACCAAAATAAAACAATAAACTACTTTGTTACACAACCCTTAAATGAAGATATAACATTTGCAAATAATGATGATTTTAATAATACCATACCCTCAGCATTGACTCATACCCTTCAAATGCTTATCTGATGGTGAGTCTCCTTATTGCAGGACTGAAAGACAAATCTAAGCCGCTGTTGTTCCCATGTGGCAACTTGCGGAAGGAGACCATTCCAAAAAGTCTGACAGAAGCAGGTATGTGGATATACTTTGTAATTCCGAAAAACTAAAATGTCACATTTTTGGAAATTGCATTTTCACTTGCCATCAGCAAAATGAATATCCTCTAGAAGTATCATTGCCATTTTAGCCATTTGCATTTACACATGAAATTCAAACAAAAAGTGGGAGTTCAATTTGTGAATTCCCTAAAATGACATCACCATGGCAATTAACAATTATGAAATCAACAACAGTTTAAATAAAGTTACAGAAAGTTTGCCTTACTAAATATTTTAAGGCACTAACAAAACAATTGTAGACCTCACCATTTGCTTAGTGTCATGGTGTATGAATTGCTTCACAAGGTCCAGCAAGCATGCATTTGGCTGTATTCTATTCATGAAATAATTCCAAAATGAAAGAAGCGTGAAGGTAAATCAATCCCTCATAAGACTGAAAGAAACAGATATAAAACTACAATAAAAACAAAATAGTAATCAGTATAGTATATCTTAACATATTTCAAACAGTATGTTTTGATTTATATCACTTTGCTAAAGGTTTTGACAAGTCCAAAATGCTCTGGGCTTAAATTGGAAAAGTGAATGAGTCTGCTGTTAAGCTTGTAAGTATGAGGGGTGATCATAAAGTTCACATAAAATTGCTTTTTTATTTTCAATATATGAAATTTTCACAGAATGTGTAATATTCAAAGACCATCAAAATATTTAATATAACGATACTATTTAATTAGTTATGACTTCCTTAGTTACCAAAGTCAAGGGATGTGGGATAAATAAAAAAGAATGTATTGAAAATAAAACAGTTTGAGAGATATGAAAACTTTGTGATCACCCCTCATATATTGAGAACAGCATACATAAATATTTTACTTGACCAGCAGCAACATATTCATAATTGATGATATCACATGTTTTATCATGTTAAAACCCTAAGTCAATCCTAACATGGTGGCCTTTCACAGGATGCATTTAAAAAATCCCAGCATTCCCTCATGAACTATCATGTCAATAGGACACTGGCATGCATGAAATATTGTTTCTGAGTCGTAAGTGTCAAAGAAGGACATTGATATTGTTGGGACAATGGAAGGCAGTATGACCACCAGTGCAGTTTCACGATGCCTGTATTGTTTGATTCCTTGCCACTATGAACACAAGGAGGTGCATACAGCATGTGACGTGCTTCTTATTATTTACGGCTGTGACAATATTCATCTCTAAATATACAATGAATCATACGAAAGCTAACTTTGATGCCAGAATTTCTTCAACTAGATACAGGAGAGGGCGTTTGAGAGGGTATGTCTATGAGAGGTTTCCTGGCAAAGACAACTCAATTTTGTACTATACACGTCATCCAAAGTGTGGATCTACAACCGTGATGAGTTACATCGCTACCTTGGCCAGACAGAATGACTTTTCCGTCATCCGTATTGACAATAATAAACAAATTGGGGGGCCAGCCGATAAGAACTCTTGTTACGTTAAAGCAAATGAATGCACAAGTTTTAAACAGTATCACCAAATAGAAAAGAAGGTACATAAGGTACAACGGCCTGCTGTGATCATGAGGCATTATGGGTATTTTGATTTCCGCCATATGAATTTAAAGCAACCATTGATGATTGACATACTGCGTGATCCAGTAGAGAGGGCAATCTCGTATTATTATTATCGCCAGCAAGTATTCAGGCATGAAGATATCACCAGTATGGTTTCTATAGATACGTGTATGAAGGCTACCTCCTATAATGTATACGATTGTCACTTGGTAAGCTCCGTTGCCTCTACACCTTACGTCACATGGTTCTCACCCCCACAACTTCTCCCTGACCTCAACAGAGCACTTAACATTATTGATAAGGAGTACGAGTTCATCGGGGTGCTGGAACAACTTGACAAATCATTGAGAATACTAGAGCATCTCATGCCTAGGTATTTTCATGGAATTGAGGAGGTGATGAAAAATACAACAATATGGCGGAATTTGGGTGGTCTTAAGAAACAAGCCAATGTAACTTTATGCAGAGAGACACTTAGAGCTTTAAACTTGGCCCTGGCTGGAGATTATGAAATATATCATTTTGTTGTCCAGAAAATGTTCTATTATGCGAAACTATTCAATGTGAAATGAAAGAAAACAATTAACAAATAATGAGGGTATACGAATGTCTAAATAATATAATTTTATATAAGGTTGTTATCTCAGTTAATACATGTTTATCTTACTGTCTTCTGTAGATAATATTATATTTTATATTAGGATAAAGTTGCATCTTGTTTTAGAACCAATTGAACGACCTATTTGAATTTTCGAGCATGCTTCATGCGATGAAAATCTACACTTGATTATTATGTTTTGGACATTGAGAATGAAAAATCAAGTTGTTATCAACCCATTGTTTGGGACATGTTGTATTTATTATACTATACATATATTATGTTAGTCTCTCCAACATATGGGTCACTATATATACATGTACAGGTTTTTACAATAATTTTGTACATGTAGAAATTATATATTTCAGTTATTTATGAAAGTATAAAAAAAATTAGATCAAGACATTATTTGCATAGAATATGAATGTAAAGTATGTATACTCGTACATCCAGACTGAAACATAATTAGGAAGCTTATGTACATAATGCATACATGTATACATAAACAAGTAAATATATTGTGCATGTAATAGATGTTCTAATGTTACATTCTGATTGAAAAACCGTTGTTTTCATGAGGAGTTACAGGCTAAAATTGACACCAGGGGTGTCATGAGCAATCAAAAAATTATTCACTGCAGATTTCAAAATTGTGGAAAATGGAGGGAATTTTTAACTAGTATGGCACCTTCAAAAAAGTACATTTATACAAGACTAGTGCAAAATTCACCAATAATACTAATATCTTTTTAATTAATTATCAATTGCACGATGCCCATGTCAAGCAGCGTGCCTACTAGGCACGCAGTTTGAAACTCTGACAAACTGCGCGCATATTTCAAAATGTGAGACGGGGAGGACACGACTCCCAAAAAGAGCCAAAATACGAAAAATACAAGGTTAGTCTCGTTCTAAAGATAGTACCATTCTGTGAAGATGAACTTAATTTACTCATAGTACTCAATGTTTTTCCCGATGTAAACCTAGTTATCTCAATATAAGGGTCTTAAGTAACTTCTGAGTTCAAAATTTACAGTGTAAAGTTATATCTATGTCTTTTTATCGTCATTTGCCGTTTATTCAGCTATTGTGTCTGTGTATGCTAGAATATATAGGATCACTCCATCTGATTAAATCAGCAAAGTTTGTGTTCATAACGATAATACGCCATAAACGTGATTTAAACATTTTTCTTGTCAAACTGCGCGCCTATATGCACATGTATTTCCCAAACTGCGTGCCTATCCAAGCTTGTTTTGTATTATTAGAAAACATAAGCGCCATACAAGGCACATATGTGTCTAATAGTAGAACCCCATAATTGAAACACTATGAGAGTCCATCCACCAAGATGGTGATCTGAAAATAAAAGTTTTTTTCGTTCCCAACTTAATTGTCACTTCTATTATACATTTTGACTTTCAATATGAAAATCTCATAAAATCTGACGATAAAGCAAAATTTCCAAAGCTACATGAAAAACACCTACACGTGCCTCTGTAGAAATTCCAATGATAATATGTAGTTTTAATAGTGTCTGCGCACAGTTTGTAATTTTTGGCTAAAATAGGCGCGCAGTTTGTGATTTATTTCTTTTTAATCTCCTGATTATCTGTTTTATCTCGAAATATTTTGAAGTATACATGATAAATGTGTAAGGAATTAAATATAAAACGAGTTTAAAGTATTTGTCATTTATGTTTAAAGTGCTAGATCGAATTACGTATAAATTCCCGTTAAATCAGTGACGAAAATGCCATTAATCTGCTTATGTTTTAAAACTTAGATTCATTTGCACATAGTTTTTGCTAGTATTTGCAAGATTCGTATATTCGCCACAGAATGAACGCATTGAACAAGAAAACAATGCAGGATAAATGTCTTTAAATTACGTTTCAAAATACAGACTCCAACTTAAATGATGCAGTGTTCTTAGGCACGCAGTTTGTGATCGAAACAAACTGCGCGCCTAAGTAGGCGCGCAGCTTGACATGGGCACCGTGAATTGTGTATTACTCCTAAATAAATGTATGATTATTCAATCAAGTAAATTGAGTGCAGCTGTGACTGCAATATGGAGGGAAATTTGGGTATATGTATTTTTTTTTATTTTTGGTCGCTCGTGGTACCACTTGTGCCACATGAAACCAAAGGTTTTTCAATTGGATGGTGTCATATTTTGGGAATTGATTTAACTTTAAAATGGTTTATAATATATAGCATAGTTTAACATATATCTTGGGTATTATTTTTTTGGCCCACCCTATATAACATAAACAAAGTCAAAGGTTTAACATTTTAAAAGTGTTTATTTGATGGATAATGTGAATTCAAGATTTAAACTCTAGTCAGCTCCATTGACCCATGAAAATAGTTACCATAGTAACCATTACTTTATAGATAACCCATACTGTGTTGATTGTCAAGAACTTTCGACAGAAGAAGTCCAGATATCTGTGTTCCTTATTTTACAGATGTTTTATATGGATTAAAAATAAGCTGACAAAAGTTATAGCAACATAGCAATAATTCTTAGACACCCAGTATGATCTTGCATGTTGTTTTGTTGTTTCACATTATCTATATTCAATAGTTGTACTGTTAAACAAAGTAAAGAGATGGAGTGGAACACCTTTGGTACCTCTGAACTTTTGATGTTTAAGTGGAACACCTTTGTCTGTAACAAATTGCAGATAGTGGCATTTGCATGTTAATGCCTTGTCACTATGTTTTGCCATTGAAAGCACAAATACTCTGTGCTTTTCCTTCAGTTGATGATAAGCATTATATAAGATTTGCATGTTCTAAATATGTATTTTGTTCCAGGGATTCCATTTAAAGATGTGTGTGTCTATGAAACTACAGCTGACCCTAATATTGAGTCAAGATTGTCTGCATTACTACAAGAACAGGTAATCTATCTACCTGAATCCATTGTTCTGTCAACCATAATGGCCATTTTGAAATTGTTGCCAGTGTAAACCTATTAAAAGATTTCTCACAAAGCAATGCCTGCATTCTAAGAAAATGAGATGAATTTTCTTGTTCAAAGAATTATTTAAGAATAGAATGAATTGATAAGACATATTTTGAGATACTTTTTCTGAGCCACCCTGTATTTTTTGATACACTTAAAAACTATTCTAGTAATTTCTGTTCTATTTTACATAGAAATTTCAAGAGTTTAATTGTATCTGAAGTTGAATTCCTCAAAAGGAAATGTACAAATACGAAAAATATAATATCTTAGAACAGTATATGATGAAATATACCTACAGATCATTCAAAATCAAGTGCTGAAATAAAACAGTAGAATTTTAAGTTTACTGCAATTTAAAATAAGAAATTGGTATACATTATTTTTGATATTCTAAAATCCAATATATTTTCTGCAAGAATTAGTGGATTGCCCCTTTAATATGCTAAGAGTGCCTTTAGTGCATATTGTAGTCCTGACCTAGCTATAAGCGAAGCATTGAAAATGATTAGGTTATCTAACCAACCGTCCTGAATCGAGGCAAAAATAACTAGTTCAACTTTTACAAAAAGTAGCTTCAGCTCTATAAGTTAATATAATAGTCACTCACATATCCATGTATGAGTACATGTATGTTATAAATGTGAACTTTGAATTAAAAGTTTAAGCATAAAATGAAATTGAATATAATGCTAAACTCAAACTGTCAAATACAAGATTTAACCATGGTACTATTAGTATCATTGCCAAATGCATGGTAATCAAACTTATGTTTTTTCTCAGTTGATGTATGCAAAAATTTGTATTTTGATTTTGCAAACATACTTTAATTCAGATTTTGAAGTTATAGAATTGTTGAGATGATATTTACAGGCTAGGCCAAAAAGCATCGATCTTACCATAACTTATAACTAACATTATGAATTTCAGAAATGTTTTTGTGATAACTTTTGTGCTGGTATCTGTACAGTAGCTGTGAAAGTATAAGCTATTTACAGAGTGTCCAAAAATTGAGCCCGAGACAAAACATTAAATTATTCTGTGAGGGATGAAGGAATATTTTTGAAGTTTGTTCCTCTAACTGACAATTTAATGAATATAAATATCTGGAACTTTCAGGAAACTATGACTACTTTTAGAGAAGAATCTGTTTTATTATCATCCATTTTTCCATGTTTGGTGTCCCCAACAAAAATTGTGACAAAGAAATATTCTTGAAATTAGTCTTCCTACAATTTAATTATCATGTATATCAAGAAGTTACTCGGTATTTCTGTTGAGTTGAAGAGAAAGGTCAGTTTTAGTGCCCTCATCAATCTGTTCATGTTTGAATTGGATTGAATTCACCTCTGATTTGGGTCATTTAGAGCATGTCGATTTCAAAGTATTTTTAAATGCTAATTAGAAAATGCATATTCTGTAAAAAGTTCAGCTTTTATTCAATGAAGAAAATAATGTTATTCCTGATTCATTTGACTACAATCTATTGGGTTCAAGTAGAAATATATTTCAAGTCATTGGTCAGTATCACGATGTATTCAACCTTTGGCTTACTTCTCTTTAAGTGACATTTCTTCCATTGATTTAATCTCTTGGTGGAAGCCTTGGTATGATTGTTGCATTCACACACAAGCTAAGAACGAGCATTATTTTTGTTACAACATTATTTTAGTTCATACCAGTATTTCAAAGTTAAAACTCCTATAGAAACAAAATGTTTGATTCTCATCTGCTATTTTAAAAGAAGTGTAACAGTCTACAATTATTCCTAATATGGACCATTGACATGTGATCAATACAATATCTGATCAATGGTCAGTCAGATGGATGGCTGTTGCCTATGTAAGGAAGTGAATGAAACAATAGAAGGAAATCATAATCAATAATTCATTATTGTATCAGCTAATAATTAAGTTATAAAGTGAATGAACTGTATTCAGTTCAATACATTTCACCTCACAAAAATGTTGCATAGTTTTCCTTTTTCAATGTCAATGAGGAATTCAGAAATGAAGTTGCAGCTTTTCATTAAGAATGTCATTGTAGTGTTTTAAATCTTTATATTTTCATTTCCTATACAGAAAGTACAAAAATATCTGAGAACTAGGGCAGATGACATCGTAAAAATTTACAAAACTTTGTTGATTCTAGGACCACCCTTTGATTCTACAATTATGATTATTAACGTTTTTGGGATCAATCTTCCATAGCAATCAATTACCAATAACAATATACATTTCCGGTTAACCTTGATTATATTGCATTAGGTCAATATTATTGTATGATCTATTAACCGATTTTCAAGTGCAGTTCCAGTTTTGTAATTTTGGTTTTCTTTTCATGAACTTTCAGTAACATGTCTTGAAATTTTGGTCACAGCTTCAAAATCAAAATATCACTTTTTCACCTCTTATTGATGAATTATTGCTTCTTCTTATGAATTAAAATATGCACACTTCTGATGACATTAACTTCCTATTAAACCACCCAGATAAACGAACAGATGAACGAATGGACAAATGGATGGACAGACGGACGGACGGACGGATGGATAGATGGATGGCTTTTCTATATTAATATCTGATCTCTCTGCCTATCTGTCAATATTTTTGGGTCAAATGACAACTGCCTGAAAACTGTCTTAATTAATGTTCATGTATTATATTTGGGTTGATGTTACTTATTATTATATCACTGTCATATTCACCATGTTCTCATTGGACATGTGTCATAAAAATAAGAAGACTTATTCATGGCCATGCCTGTGACATCAAAAAAAGGTGTATTCAATGGGCATGTTCACCAGGTGTGGTATTTCGTTCAGTGTAAATCTGAAAATGATACGAAAAAAATCCAATCATCATTATAAGTGGCTAATAATAAAACAAATATTTCATACTATTGAGGTGAATACCTGCTGCACTTTCAATAATTCTGCAGGGTGTATTCCCCTGGCCATCTATGCTTTGGGGAATACACCTTGCTAGAATCATTGAAAGATGGAGATGCATTCACCTCAATAGTATGAACTATTTGTATATTATCCCAGAGAGAGATATAGAGAAGCCATCTGTCCATTTGTTCACCTGATTGTTTGTTCATTCTTCTGTATTGGCAATAACTCGAATACCAGTGTATGCTTGACCTACTTTTACAGTTTGACTATTTTTGAAAAATGAACACAAAAATCTGATGGAAATGCTTTAATTCAAAATAAGATTTTTAAAAAGTGCACTTTCAGGTTCATGCATACTAAATTTTTAGTAGTATGAATGAAGGAGTTACCATATGGAATGGTGCTATATTTATATATCAATTTCAAATTAAAAATAATTTTTGTGCATATAGGGGTTTCATTAGCAGCAGGCAACAGGTGATTTTCACCGGTTGTTTTCACAAAATCGCCTGTTGTTTTTAGGGACTTTTCAACTTTTTCATGTTACATTTATGATTTCCATTAATTTAGCCTGTTGTTTTCATTTATTTAGCCTGTTGTGAGAAATTCTAGTGAAACCCATGTACATATGCTTGTTTGAATTGTGAATTCATTAACAATGGCGCAGCTACATGTGCACTAAGTGTGTACTTAATGTACTCTCAGTTTTGCATGATTAGAAGTGCATATCTAGGGAATGCCATTCTATATAAGTATAGCAGTCAGTTTCAGAAGATTTATCTATGGAAATGAATTTCATTCAAGTGTACTTCACATATTGTCCCTGGGTGTCATTCCATTGATTTTGGTGCGATTTCTGTCAAATGAAAGCTATTCTTGGATTTAGTACTAAGACGCATGCTGTCTTGTGTATATTGCATAACATGATTTTTGACATATTTAGTTCATTATATGAACTGATGTAAGAGTCTAGGTCAACTAAACTTCATTCATCAGATCATGTTCATTCAAAAAAGGACCTACACAGTGCAAAAACATATAAGGGTATTAACCCCACAACATCAATAAATCCCCACAGTGTATCTGAAAAACTAGTGAACTACCTCACCTCGTAACATCACTCTCTTAAGGGCATAAGATGCACTAGGAGCGGTCGACTTAACTTCATTCATTAGATCTTGTTCATTGAAAAGTGGACCTATACATTGCAAAAATCATTTAATGAGGAGTTAGGTTAATCTCACAATAATATGTCATACAACAGTATGCAGATGAATTTGATATTATTATTATTTTGGACCACCCTGTATATTGTTGATCCGTCTAGGTCTGTGAAGACAGGAAAAGAAATAAACAAGTAAGCAAATTAACTCTCATAGATCACAATCACCAGGAAAATGTTGATATTAATTACTCAAGAAAAAGAAAAATTACGGTTCAATTTATGGTATATCCTCAGCGGTATAGGATCCAGGTCTCAATTAATTATATTACAATTTACAGATCTCTTATATTTATTTGATATGTTTTTTATTCCCTTTTGTTTATTGCATTTCACCACACAAGCTTGTTGTGTTACGATCCCAGGGGCCTGAGCTTCTGCAAGCTTCACAAAGCAGTTATTGTTCGGCAGTTTCTGGGAGATATCCGGCTAGGAAATGTTCACGCTGAGATTATGATGTAGAGGTGCAACGATAATCCCTTCTACTCTAAACTTGTTGCAATGGTCAGATTTAATTCATCCAAGAGCTTTAATTCCTTTTGGAGTATGAACGATATATCTGATTTCATGCAGTATTCTGTTGATTTGTGAGAATGCTTTACTGTCTTTCTCGCTAGTTCTTCTCTTAATGTGTCTAAATTATAAGACTACAAGGACATTTTATTTCTCGGTGAATTATAGTTGACATGCAATGATATTAATTATTTTCCTGGTAGGGGGCCACTTCCACTGCCCTAGATTTGACTTAATTGTTACGTATGTGAGCCTTTAACAATCTTCAAGTTTGTAGAAGAGTTCCTCCAATTCATTCTGTACA